TTGCAACATGAGTTGGCTTTCTATTTTTTTAAGTGGATAATTGCGAATTGCAGTGCACCGCAAAGCTGACTATTTTTGTTATAGGCTTAGCGCTTAGGGCGTCAGCAAAGGTCTTTCTCTGGTAAATAAAATGTGTAAGTTTATTTACCAGGAATATTAAAGGTAAAATGGCCTCCTGACACCTTAAACTTGTATTAATTTATTAATTCGGTAAATAAATTTACACATTTTCTATTTTTAACACCTCTCAACTTGATGAACCAAATACTAATAAACACTTATGATTCAACGTGGTCTTCACTCGCTGTGACATGGATGACACATTATATACTAAGTTTTTTTTATTCTTTGACATGTGTAAATGTAGGGCCTTGCTTACCGTGAAAATGGTAATTACAATTAGATTTGATTTTGTAATTCTAAAAATATGTGATCTATTTTTATGCTGATTGTTAAGCAATGGATGCTAAATAAAAGATTAGAAATCAAGATTGCAGCTTAGAGACGATATGATAATCGGACCAAACAGTTGGAGATCGGGGCCTCGAGCTATCGTTTACAAGGCCTTGGGGTCGAATTGGACGACCAGCTTAGAGTGATCGAAGGAGGGTTAACACTTTACGAGAGCTATGATAATGACTCTTTATGATTAATGATAAGCAATAAATGAAGAACAATGAATAGAACACAATGAATATAAGCGATAAATGGAAATAATGAATTCAAGGGAATATGTTAAGTTAGAGAGCAGAGAAAATATTCTTTGTATTCAATATTGAGTCTCTGGTCCCTACAGAATGACAAGAATTCCCCTTTATATATGAGGGGAAACATAGTACAAAATGTATTAATTACAAATATATGGGGCAAGTATAGCCACTTAATGCCCTGATACGGGTCAAAGCTAGCCTTCTAGACTCTGTCAGCCCTAGTCGTGGGCCTAGGAAACTTCCCACTTTCCTACCATCACCGTCGACTTGCGCTGCCTCGAGGTTGGACACCGATGGCCCCTCGGGATAAATCTCGACCGTAGTCTCGAGCCTTTGGAAAATTTGCTTACGAGGCGTTGTAATGGCTGAAAATTGGACCATTCCATTTTACGGCATACTTTTTAAAAAAACACAATTTACCAAATTTTAAATTTATTTTCTTTTCCTCTTTTCTTTTCATCTCTTCCTCTTCACCATAGCAGTAGTGAACCTTCTAAGACATAACCTTCAACATCAGTGAGAACCACAAATTGAATACAATAATAGTGCTGAGGAGGTGTCCAAACTGGCATAACAGCTTCAAGGACGCGGGGAAGGGTCACCATAAATGAAAATGAGATCTGTGGGTTTATCAACGCCGGCACCAAACAGTGGCAAATATTTCTGGTGGAGTTGGCCGAATGAACGATCTACAGAGAACAAATTTACTTTTCTATAAATTTAATTTCAGATGATTGAGAAGTGTTTGAAGTGTATTTGGGTGTTATCTAAGAGAGGTGGACAGAGATAGGTAGTCGCCGGTGAAGTGTTTTAGGCCATAAGCTCCATCTTTTATGGTAAAATATGATGACGGTCGTGTTCTGATTTTTGTGGTGGTGCTTGACGATTTTACTCGTCTGCTATGAAGGTTCTGGAGGTCTTAAAATTAAGGTGATTTTTAATGGTCAAGATTGAAAATAAAGGTTGTTGTGGTAGAATTTATTCTTAAAAAATCTTTTCTGATGGTTAGAGAGGAGAGGTTTGTGGACGGAAATGGCGCCGGCGGGAAAAGACCAAAATTCAGGAAAGGAGAAAAAGGAGGATAACGGAAAGAAAGGTTGGGTAGGGCGTAGGAGTAGGGAGTAGTTTTTTTCCTTTTCCTTCTTTAGGAGTTTTTTCTTTTTCTTTTTAATCTTTTTTATTGTAATTGATGTTTTCTTTCCTATGTTTTAGTATTTTTTCTACCAAAACTCTATTCTAACGCTCTTGATTAGCGTGATTGTCACGTACCTAGGCTACATCAATCTGTTGTTGCCTGTTGATAAATTACACATATAATTTACGAATTAATTCTAAAAGATATATTTATGTTCAGTCGTTTGGTTCAAGGGATTAGATGGATTATCCCAATATAAATTTTAACAACAATAACAACAACAAATTCAGTAATTTTTCACAAGTGTAGTCTGGGAAAGGTAAGATGTAAGCAACCTTACCTCTGTCCTGGAAGGGCAGAGTGGTTGTTTCCGATAGACCCTCGGGTAAAGAAAGGATTAAGGGAAGTGAAGACAGTAAGTATCAACAACACGATAAAAGAAGAAAACTGAAGCCAAAACAACAATTATACGCTAGGTAGTAATAACAATCTAAGAATAAATGACAACATACTAATACTAATGCTATCGAACAATTGTACGCTAGGTAGTCATACCAGTCTAAGAATAAAAGACAACATACTAATACTAAAAGCTATCGAACTGAGAGTACAGGGGGAAACACTCGACTACCTACTAGCCTATTACCCTAATCCTCGACCTCCACACCCTCCTATCAAGGATCATGTCCTCGGTCAGCTCCAGATGCATCATGTCTCGCCTAATCACCTCTCCCCGCGACTTCTTTGGCCTACCTCTATCCCACCTCATACCCCTAAGGCTAACCCAAGATAAATTTTGAGATATAAATTATATTTAGTTGGAGGTATTAGCTAAATTCAATATTATTTATAACAAAATTTTGATATAACTTATTGTATATAAAAAGTGGGATAAATATCCAGCTTATAGTCTTGGTTTAATCCCAAAATTATAATCCTGACATATCTAATACTAATACAGGGGCGGCTCGACATAATATGGGGCCCAAGGCGAAAATAAAAAGTGAGACCTTAATTTTTTTTAAATTATTTTTTTACCTCTTATAATTTATCGAACTCTAAAGAAGTTATAATCAGTTTTAATTATTGGCTATGTCTAACCAAATTGTATTATCTCTCGTGTTATCATGTTGAATTTTATTGATTTAATTTTGAAAAACTTTTTCAACCGATGCAAGTGATATAGAAATTGTTAACGGTAATTGAATTAACACTTTTTACTTAATTGAATTTGCCAACTAGAGTATTCTTCTACTTAAACAATTTCTCTTAACACTTTTAATTCTAAATATAGGTTAAAATAAATAAAACTGTAGTAACTACTATGTTTCAAGAGTCATTCAATGTTAATGACGAATGCTAATAATTACTTATCAAAATAGCTTGAAAAATGTCTATAAAGGCACTCAAAGAATTTTCTAGACTAACATTGTAAGAAGATCGATTTAAATTGGGACGAATTAAAGATACGAAACAACTAATTACTATAACTTAAGATGTGTAAATTTTTTAGCTATAACTATTTTAACCAAATAATTTAAATTTTTTATCAATAATACATAATTATTAAATATTATATATATTATTTATAGATTTTGGGGCCCCAAATATTTTTGGGGCCTAAGGCCATTGCCTTAGTGGCCTTAGGCTCCAGCCGGCCCTGTACTAATATCTACATATCTATTAATAACTGGGTGGGAATAGCTCATCTCATTTCAAGATATTTTCATTTCCACAGTTCACTTTTCATGGTTGTATGACTTGATATTGATGGTTACTTAAATGTCAAAGCAAAGCCAAATGTGGTAGGGCCTACTGGCCAACCCCTCAATGTGCTGATACTGATACCCAACAAACTGTAAATTCTGGTGACTTCATGTGATGCACTTTCCAATATTTCTGAACACTGGCTTGTCAACAAGAGAGTCATAAAAGAAGGAAAGATAAACCTCAGTGTGTAATACAAAAAGATGATACAAATCAAGCATACATTAAGAGACTAGCTTGAGAAAACAGTTTCTCAGAGAAAGATAACTTAATATTATACTATAAGGCTATCAAGGATCAGAGGCGGCTCGATAGAGTTGGTGGCCTAAAGCCGCGTTATCTTAATAGGCCTCTTAAACTTACTTCATAAAATCTGTAAAGTTGGAATAAGACACAAAAGTAAGTGTTATTGTTGTTGTTGTAAGACACAAAAGTACTTGCCTAATGGTCTATGAATCAATCAAACAAGACAAAAAGAAATAACTAATTCAGAGTAATTGAGCTAAAATTTAAAAGTGAAATCGCAGAAACATAGAAAAGAAATGAGTGTTTATAAGGAAGGAAATATTAGAACTAAAAAGACATGAATTAGCTAGCTAATGGGAAAGAAAACTTTGGCCTTTTTTACTCGCTTATCTATACAACCTTAGCCAAATTTTTAAAAAATGATAACCTTAGAGTCTCTTACTAATAATACTTACATAAATTATATGCTAATATAGTGCTCAGTAAAATATAGATTTTGGGGCCTTTTGTATTTGGGGGCTAAGGCAATGATTTTAGCAGCCTTACCCTTCAGCCGCCCCTGTCAAGGATAATAGAAGGGCACAAAGACTTTGACTTTGAACCTTGTGAAAGTTCTTCTAATGAATCTATGTAGTTTTCTACCTACTGGTTCCCTCTTCCTTCCCAAGATTAGGGACGGTAATAGGGCAGGGCGGGCGGGGCAGAGATTAGGGATGGCAATAGGGCGGGGCGGGACATGCCTCGGCCTGCTAACATTTTGACCCGCCTACCCTACCCCATCTAGATGTCAAATTTTATTATTCCAAACTTAGTGTAGAAGCTGGTATTACAGTCTTCTCCTCTCCAATCTAAGCACCCATAGTACTTCCCAAATGTGCATGGTTTTGAAGAGAATAAAATTGAATAGGAGCCTATGCAACACATTTTATATTCTTCAAACTGACAAAATGGAAATAACTTGTACAGAATGAGGTTTCACATTCAGGATAGAAAGGTGAAAAACATTATCTTGGTTCCACTTTGGAACAGGTTTTTTATCAACAGGATTCAAGCGAGATATTCAACTTCACAATTGGCTACCATTTTTTGCATGAAGATACCCTTGTATCTGGAGATGAACAAAGACAAATAGAAAAGTAATGGGATGATAATAGAACGTTTTCCTTTTAGCAGATAAGATACTGATAAATATAACTTGACAGTAGTTATACAAATGGTCCGGAGGTTTTATTTAAAACCATTGACAGCATAGATCAACAGGCTTTTGCGTCCTAAATCCTCCCCTTGAGCTACAATTGACATTATGGTTTAAGAGTAAGATTTCATTGTACAAGGACAGTAACTTTTTGGCCTACCTATTTTCTGCTAAACATGCTTCTTAATTTCCCTCTTTCTAAGCGTTCGAGTAGCTTCTTCGCACCAGGAATATCCATCTCAGTTAGCTTCTTTAGATAGCCAATTGCTCCATATGAAATCATCAGTTTCTTGCATTTCTTGCTCGAGGAAAGCAAGGAAAGGGAAGCAACAGCATACTTCTTGGCAGTGTTTTGAGGAGCTGGATCAAGCAGCTGTACCAAATTTGGCACGCTCTTATTGTCCCTCTTGACTTCCCTGCAATTATGTGCAATGGACATTAGGCTAGCAATCGCTTGAGCAGCAACTTCCCTCACCCCATTTGCTTTAGCCTCCAACATCTTAATAAGGAGAGGAATGCATCCAGCTTCGCCCAAAAGTTTCTTCATCTCAGTTGAGGTGCAAATTCGACAGACTGCTGATGCTGCAGCCTGTTGTGCACCAAGTGATCCTGACTTCAGGACATGAACCAACCTCGGAAGGAGACCAAGCGAGATTAAAACCTCCATTGAGACAGAGCCAACCAAATTTCTCAAGGCTCCTACAGCTGATTCTTGGGGCAGTGGACCGTCTAAGTATGCCAACAGGCTTCTGATTCCACCCTCTGACACAACTGATCGTCGAAGATCATCATTTCCGGAAGTTAGATTTTGCAGGCATTCAGCTGCATACTCTTTAGATCCCAACAGTATTCCACAATCGAGGAGATTTATCATAACTTTTATGATTCCTTCTTCAGCTAGAGCTTGTCGAACTTCTGGCACAGCAGATATATTCTTTAAGGTACAAGCAGCAGCAGCCTGTGAAACAGAATCACCGGTTCGGCATATCTCGATTAGAGGCCTAATCCCACCATGTCCAACAATAGAACGAGCTGTTTCTGCTGTCATTGACAATCTCTGGAGAGAAATGGTAGCCTTCTCTTTGCTCACAGTTGTACCAGATTCAACGAGACGTATAAGAGGAGGGAGAACACCTTCTGAAACAAGCCAATTCTCACAACTCCCGGATTCTGCAAGCGAGCAAATTACAGTTACTGTCTTTTCCCTCATTCGAGGAGAAGTAGCAGTTAATAATTGGACTAGAGCCGCAATATTGCTTCGACCTAGGACAGCCAAAACATTTTTCTCATCTTCTTTCATGACTTCAAGAAGGTTATCAAGAGCCTTATGTTTAGCCTCCAAGTGGCCAATCTGAAGCCGAGCAAGCAATTCTCGTAAATTTCCATGTACTGCTGCCTCAGGGGCCGCAGATGTGCTTGCAACAGCTGATGGGAAAGTAACCTCACCAAGCACTCCAGACTTGATTAAGAGCCCACAATCACGCAAATTCAAATCCAATCTCCCTGACAATGCATCTAAATCACTTTGCATCCGAAGTTTTCCCTCGTACTTCTCTTTCACGCACTTCTCTGCCAATTCAACAGCTTCATTTAATGTCTTCGATACAGTCTGTAACTGCTCCTTACAAAGAGCATTCTTTGAGAAGAAAGGATGACTAGATAAATCAGACAGTCGGTTTGGGATCTGTTCCAATTTTGAAATAATCATCTTCCATCTACCAGGGAATCCTTTAACCTCTCTTGCCTTCTCAAGTGCAACAGGCACAAGCGCTTGTGCACGCGAGAGCCACTCTTCCACCGACAAGATATCGACCATATTTGTTCCACTATCATCCACCATGATATGAAGTAATAGGCGAAGGATCAGATTCTATACCACTGCTGAATAGAACTGCACAATTCAGAAAACAAAGAACCTCAACATGGCTCAAGTTCCTAGACAACAACCCATTTTGAGAGTTTGGTATCAAAGGAGAAGAGAATCCACAAAAAAATGATTTTTAAGGAAGAAAATGAGTCAGCTAAGCACCAAGATGTCTTTCAGTTACAAATGGGAAAGTAATCTTCAGACAACCCAAACACCATCAAGTGGTTTCAGAAAATTATAAAAAATACCATCCTTTCTCCTAGAAAAGTTAAAGTGTTGGGAGCAGTTGCAATCACTAAAACATTAAACTATAGGGCATTAAAAGAAAAACATCAATAAATAAATAAAGGGTAGGTCTAAGATTAGAGGGTTCGAGAATCTTGCATGATCTCAGAAGGCTGGTGCCCACAGATAATTACTAAGCACCTAATAAAGCAGCCGCCACACGAGTTTACTCAAAAGTTTTTTCAAGTAAAGTAAACAAATCACTATGGAAATCTCAAAGTAAAACCAGGTTCACAGATTCATTTACAGCTAATGAAAGTGAAATGAAGCAACTCTTCAACAAATACACCACAACTAGCCATGAAAGAATGTCGGTTAATGTTTTTTGCCATGACCAAAATGCCCCATACATGTTAAATAAAGTCTTAGGATTATCAACAGATGTAGTGGGGGCATTTTGGGGAAAAAGTAAGGGCAAATTGGTAAAGAAAAATGGAACTTCATAACTTTACCTTTCAGCTACGGAATAGGACATTGATTCTAGATGAATAGAAAAATCTTCAACTACTACAAAACAAAAGGCGTAACATGGAGTAGATCTGAATTTAATGGCTAAAATTCCAAGAAAGGACAGGTCCACAAGTTCTATTTGTAACTTAATTCCAACTTTATCCCCATATATACATGGATACCAAATAGCAGGTATGGTTTTGAAAAAGGAAGACTCTTTCCTTTGAAGAAAAGATAGGATTTTTTTTTCATCTCTAGTTGTACATACATGGCTTTGAGTCTAAAATTTTATAAATGGGACCAAGCTCCCACTATAAGAATGTTCACCAAATTTTCTGCAATAAATAAAAAGAAGAGAATTTAATTGTATACCTCTAATTGACTACTCTTTTGGCTGTCATCCAAGTCACTCAAAGCTTTATCAGCCACTTAAAGACTTCCAATACTGTTTCTACAAGCAAAAAACACAATCAGAAAAATAAAATCCCAAAAATAATAATCACTCACTAATCACCTAGATTTTTCCAAGAGTTTGAAAAATCAAAACCAACTTAAGAAAAAGACCCTTTTTTCTTTTTACCACCTTTTTCATTCTCATTCTCACCCTGTTTAATCTTAGATCAAATGAAGAAAAAGCTAAAGAACCAACATTTAAGATTTCAGAAACAAAGAAGCACCCTTTTTACTCAGCTGAAAGGAACCAAAAATAGCTTGATCCTAAAATCCTTGCACTCCCTTCTCAAGCTGGAGCTCTTCTTCTAAAAAAAAAAGCCTTCCCTTTGGTAAAAAGATTGAAACTTTTGGATCAAAAGACCCTCAAATCTCAATGCTGACCACAAACCAGAAAATTGCATGTACCCCAAAAAAACTTTTCTGTTTATTATTTGCCCTTCTTCTAAAAGAAAATTGGGTTTTTCTAATAAAAGAAAATGAGTAGAATTTTGAAGTGGGGAAGTACTGGAGCTAAATGTAGCTGTTACACAGCACTTTTGAAAATAGCTTACCAGTTAAAGTACTGGAGCTTTAACGGAAGAAGACAGAACATACAGAGAGAGAAACAACAAAATCTCCATTCAAAAATCAAAATTAGAGATTTCTCTCTCTATAAGAAGAAGAAAATGTCAGATTCAGACCTGTACTTCTTGTCACCTAGATTCTATCCCCAATATATTACAGCTAGGAGAGCATATTGAGGAATGGACGGTTGCGATTGAAGGATTAAAACAGTGAATCAGACCGTTGGTATTTTGGTTGAAATTTGAAAGTGTTATTACATGAATTGTTTTATTTTATCAAGGAGCTGATGTGTCAGATTGAAATTGCCACGTGTGAAGTGGGACCAAGAGAAATATTTGCTTTTTGAAAAGCTTTATGGTGGGTGATCTACTACTAGTAGCACGTGTTGCTGACATTGTACTGCTCAGTGGCACTTTTGGATTAAAATATGGTACTTTCACTGATATAGTAGTGGAAAATGGAATTCAATTTTCATTATCATATAAATAAAAAGGGAAAAAGAAAATTTACCTGAAATAGTAGCACTTAAAAGAAGCCACTAGTTTTTTCTTGCGACACCTCTTGAAACAATATCTATTTTGAACTTTTAAGATTATAGACAGCTGTCATGAATTTTTTTTAAAATTAAGTTGTTAAAACAATTCATATATTATAGTTTGGGTTTCAAATTAAGGGAGGACAACTAATATCGAGAAAGAAAGAAAGAAAGCTGAACATGTCAAAGATCCACCAAAAACAACTTTTATAAGTAGTAGGTGGAGTATATGTCTCGTTAGATCTTAGTAATAGATCGTATTCAACAAATAATATGTGTAATAGTTAAGCAAAAGATTTTATTTACTATCTACTATTTCTGTATTGCTCTATCTGTCAACTCTGTTCTGTAGGAGTTCCTTTTTTTTTTTTTTTTTTTTTTACAGTATAGGTAGTAGCTGTGGCAGGATTTCCGCTAAAGAAATTTAAAAAAGAAAAAATTTAAAAAGACTATAGTCAATGGGAATTGAATTAATTGACCTTACAAAAGTTTTGAATTCCCTTAACCATTAAGTTATGCTTTTAAGTTGTGTCAAAGGGTTTCAAAATATAATATATAAAGGTAAAAATAGATTTTGCCTTATATATACAGTGTAATTTTTCGGCGAAGGTGGTTCGGGTGAGCCCCAACCGGCCCCGAGTGTAGGAGTTCAAAATTTGAAAAGAGAGGTAATGATAAAAACAAGTTCCTCAATCATTTAAATTAGAAGCAACTCATGTGGTACAAAAATATAGGCAACCATGAACTCACATGATTGCTAATATATGATGTCTGATTATTGAATATACAAAAGATATTACTCACTTGAAACTTAAACCCCCACCCCACCCCTATTCCACCCCCCACTCCTCTTATAGTAATGGTCAACTCGACGACTTGTGAACAACTTCTCCATCACTTTCTCTCCTAGCTCACATGTCCGTTACAACTACGTAGTCAATTACTAATTCAAATGTCTCTTACCCCTTTCCATTATCCACTAAGATCTAACGAATCAAAATTTTAAGCATCAAGCTTTTGACTAGCTAATCACATGGGAATCCTATGATTATCAGTTTAATAGTGAAAAAAAATTAATGTCTGATTTAGTTTGTTTTTAAGAGAGTTTCTAATTGTAACTCCTCAAAAAGATAGTACAAAAAAATTCGATATATCAACCTAATACTCTCTGTCTTATTTTATACGACCTTAGTTTTGGAGAGTCAAATACATGTATACTACAATTATTTCTTTTTAAAAATACTTTTGAATAATCAAATCATGATTGAGAATTAGATAAATTAACCCTTATATATAAAGTCCAAGATTTTTTTCCGGGAGATGGAACGTGCAAATTGTTCAACTCTACCAAGATATTATTTCATTTTGAGAAGGGCTGACGCAACTCCAGTATCAAAATGTATCTTAAAATCACTCCAATTAATAGCCCGTTTGGCCAAGATGCAAAAATCAGCTTATTTTGAGAAGTGCTTTTTTTAAAAGTGCTTTTCTCAAAAGTACTTTTAGTGAGAAGCAGTTTGTGTTTGGCAAATTAGTTTGAAAAACACTTCTGAGCAGCAATTAGTGTTTGACCAAGCTTTAAAAAACTGCTTCTAAGTGTATTTTTCTCAAAAGTGCTTCTCAAAAAAGTGCTTTTGGAGAGAAGCTACTTGTTTCTGCTTCTCCAAAGCTGCTTCTACTTCTCCTCAAAAGCACTTTTTTTCCTTCCAAAAGCTTGGTCAAACACCTCAATTTTTAGCCAAAAATGCTTTTGCAAAAAAAAAAAAAAACACTCTTGACCAAAAAGAAACTTAGGCCAAACAGGCTATAAATGCGACAAAGTAAAAAAGGAAAGCAACAGTTCGCTGTTGCAGTTGCAATCACGAAGTTGCAGCAATTCAAATTCTAAGGAAGAGAGAAACAAAGGCCTAAGAAAGACCAATGTATGGAGTCAACCAAGACGCGTGCGCCAATTTGGCTTGGCGTAGCCTGGACGGAACGCTGTCTTTTGTCGGTCACATTATTCAATGCTAATGCTTCTTTTGTCCTCTCTATTTCACTTTCTACAATACGCACACCTTTCAAATTTTATGTACTTTTCTTTCTCACTTAACTCGTAATCAACCGTCAATATTTCAATTCTTAATTAGCCAATGGCACCTAAACAGTAAACAATGATTCCTCTACATTACATACATAATCAACCACTCATTCATAAACCCCCACCACATTACATACACAATCAACCACTCAAAACAATAATTAATCAAGTCATTCCTTTATATTCAAGTCCGTTTTATTTGTTCGTACATGTTTGTGCGGGTCCAATGAATTAAGACAATACATCGTATAGTGATTCCACCTTATTCGAGTCTGATTCGTTAGCGCGCATGAGCACCTGCACTTAATTCAAATGTGCAGAGAATATCATACTAAACATGGTCACCGACATTCACAATCAGCAGATGACTTAAAGTACAGAAAAATAGAATGGAGGAGTTTTTGAAAGCCATTCTTCTTTCGCCAAATACACCTCAGCTAATTCGATTGCAATGAGTAGAATTTTTAATATTTGTGTACACAACATACTCATTAGTCATTACGGAAATCAACATCAAACTAACATACACAATGGTACAAAGACATTGTACATCTGCAGGTTGTAAAGCTACAAATTCCAGACGACAACGTGACCAACAGACAACATAAATAACTTCTAAACTAGCTTCTTGCTTGGAAGGTTTTCTTTTTCTTTTTCTTTTCGGGGTGATGAAATCTTGCTTGGAAGTTTTCTCCTCAAGATCGAGACCTCTCACGTGGCGGTGGTGAACGACTGCATTGGTAAAGATCATAACAAAATTAGTGTAATTGAAAACTTAGGACTTTGAAAACAGCATGAATAAACCCACACAACCTACAAAACCTTCGGGGTGGGGGGTGAGACGAAAGAATGAAAACAGAAAAGATTGTGAAGGGACCTGTGATATCTCTCATTGACAGGGCTTTCTGCTCGACGATACTCAGGACTTCCCCTGGTGCGAGGCCTTGAGTTTAGAAGTGCTCCATGCCCATAGTCAGGACTACCCCTATCCCTTCTATATGGGCTAGGCGAACGCCGACGGTCATAACCTCTCCTGCCAGGTGACATGTCACGGCCTCTTCTGTCAGGACTGCGACCATTTCTCTTGTCATCATCATCTCGAATCGCAAATTCTACAGAAATAACTCGATCCATGAACTTGCTGTCAATTTAATCAAAAACCTCAAATTAGTGTAGAACTGCAGCAGCCACGAAAAAGAGAAATGTAGTAATGGCATCAGGACAGCTTCAAGGCGTGTGCAACAAAAGGGCAGCGAGAATGAAAAGAAAGAAGCACCAGTGTAGTTCAATGGTTGAAGAAGTGGAAGACCATGAGAGACCAAAATTCAAATCCCAACAGGGACAAAAAGTTTAGGTGATTTTTTCAAAGTTTGGTGGATAGAGTTACCCGGCACCGGTACTGGTGGATCCAGGTACCCTGCGGAACAGTCGAGCTGCCACAAGTTAATCCAAACACTACCTTACTCCCAAAGAAAAGAGAGTGGAAAGAAAGAGGATGATGAGGAAGGAGAAACAGAAAAAAAAGAGAAGAAAAAAGCTGCTTGTCTACTGATTTTCAATAATATCACCCTAGATGGAAAAGAATATCTGCAGTTTAACTCCAGAAATAATTATCATCCCCATAATGAAGGAAAAATTGACCCTTCAACATTTTGTGCATACACTGAGTCATTTCCCTGTCGAATTCACAGAGGTTAATTATGGTCTTGTGAAATGGAGCACTCACTTAGCACGAGTAATCAATTTATCCAGCAACAATGATATGTATGATTCTAGCTATAAGAAAGTAAAGCAGAATACTCAAAAAAGGCCCTTTTAAACTGCTAACCTCATGTTTGTCGCTTCTAATGCTCTGCTAGCATCATCCTCGGACTCATACTGAACAAATGCGAAATTCCTTCTGATTCGAACATTTGATATTCTACCATAAGGCTCAAAATACCTCTCTATGTCCCTTGTCCGAGTATGAACTGGATCAAAGTTGATGACAAATAAAGTCTTGGAAGGTTTAGTATTTGCAGCAGGCTTCCTGGAGCTGTCAGGCCTCCTACTACCACCACGATCCTCCTGCAACATAATCTTAGTCAGGTCAGTTCCGCATATAACATCAAAGAGAAGTGCATATTTCCACACCAAACTGATGCTATAAATACTCTCTGCCAGGGTGCTGCAACTACGCAATTCAACATCATACCTTAGTCCATTCTACACGAAGCCTGCGTCCCTTTTTACCAAACTCTATCCTGTCAAGTCTTCTAATTGCATCATCAGCATCACGCTCGTCCTCCATATAAATGAAAGCAAATCCTACAAAACCAAAAGCGCCATGAAATCAAACCAGAAAAATTCAGTTACATTTTTCATACATAAAGCTAAGTTAAGATGCCTCCTGCCAATATATGTCAGCACACTACAGAATGCGACTAGATCAAACTTACCACCCAAAACCCCTCATGAGTGAGGGGGGAAGGGGGGAAGGGGAAAGAAAAATCTGTATGAAGGAACTCAACAGCAGCCACTGGATCCGAGATGATCATGCTATCTATGTTGAAACATTTCAGGTATTGAGGACTGAGCAAGGTCATGAGGAATGCAAAAGGCAATGGTCTCAGTAAATTGTAGGATGGTAGAACCATGGCAGATCACATTTGTTCTTTCAGATAAACATAAGAATATGTATCTTTGGCACAAGCCAAAAAAGAAACGCAGAGAACCCTTCATCCAGGAAGATCTAGGAATTCCAAGTATCCTGCGCGAAAGAAAATATTGAGATTGGGAGTTCAACTACACATTAACTTGTTTTTTCTCCAGATAAAACAAATTAGAGAGATCATTTCCATCAAGCAGAAAGAAGACAACAGCTGCATCTTTATTTGATGCAATTCAATAAACATAAGTCATTTATCGGAACAAGTACCAAAGAACTTAAACTTCCTTGGGAAAATACACACACACATATATAGTGCAGAGAACCTAAAAAAGAAAAGAATAGATTCATTTTAAAAGTTAGCGGAGAACTTCTCTGCACAATCGTGGACTAGTCCTTCATCAGACATGATAGGCATCATGGAAACAAATGTTAACACACAGTTTACCTTAACGGCTTAACCCTTTCGGTTTCTATCTCTAAGAGATTACTTCCTTTGAAAGAATAACAAGAAAACAAATTAAGTCAAGAGAATGGTAGGTTTACCAGATTTCATATCCACCCTATCAACCTTCCCATATCTTCTGAAAAGCCGCTCGACATCTGACTGGCGGGCTTCAAACTCCAGATTGCCACAAAATATGGCCCTCATGTCAGGCAATTTTCCCCCTTCAGTGAAACAGATAGTGTAAGCCAACTACTCGAGGGAAAGAGATATATGGAAAGCCATACATAATTCCTTTAACATGCAACAAAAACCCACGACATTTTACGTGTTAAGTCGTTCCTTACCCCTTTCCAGTAATAAACTCAGCCAAGTTATGCATTCACCACTTCGACAGAGTTCAAATCAATAAAGCTACTATGACTACCTAGAATTCAGTTGCAACTATTGTACACTATACCATTCTTCGAACTATAAAGACATCAAACACTAACACTTTCAAGTTATTGAATTATATTTAATCAGTATGATTGATGCTGTCGTTGAACTAATCAATTTCATAATTATTGCTTTCTCTTATACTCCCTTGTTATATGGAACTTTTTTATTTTGCTATATCTAAGATATCTCCCACTCTCAGTCTGGAAGATCCCCCAAATTAAGAAGCAAAATAATTAAAACAAAAAGGAAAAAATCACGAAACATTCTTTAACAGTGTTCAAAAAATAAAGTTACAAAATGCATATATGAAATTCAAGATAGCAAAATGTAATGGATCTGTGATATAAACGAACAGAAATGGAAATATTACCTGAAAATGGAACCTTTGCTAATAGGTGAAATTTAAAATTTTGCTCAAAAATAATAATCTGAAGATAGATAAAAATAAAAGGAAATTATTAAGCAAAGAGATCTAACGAAATTATACTACAAAGTGCAAGCTCCCAATAAACCGAGAGGAGAGATTCGAAAAATCGTACCTTTGAAGCTTTTTTTTCGCAGCCAAAGTAAAGGTAATTCGAGTAGATTACGAAGATTTTAGATCAACACGGAAGCAAGATGTCAAATGATGTCGTTGGCTACGAGTTTCTTTACTTGGTCTGGGCTGCGCATAAGCTCATTCCATCATCCTAATTTGTTTCCCTCGGGCTCGAGGATCACGGCCCATTGTTGTTGAGTAGTTTTGGCGGAGTATTTTTACCTTCTTATATCATATATCAAACCTTATTACCCTCAATGTTTAAGGTTTGTGTTAATTACATTTCAGTATACCAAATTACCATCTATATACCATAATTCAAATTAGGGGTATAATTAATGCTTCATTTATATTAGGCGTTAATTTAGGAGCGTATATTCTCACATTTACCTTTACCCGCCTCTCTCTCCTCCCACCCCCCACACCCCCCACGTTTTACCTGCACTACCTCACGTTTACCATCAGTTTTCCTCTACAGACCCACGATTCTACAATTTTTTCTCTATTTAATTTCACAAAATCCCAATTTAAAGTTCCATCTGATTCAAGTTGAAGTAGTCCTTCTCCCAAATCGAACACGGTGTTGACGTTGCTCAAAGCCGGGGATCGTCGGCCCTTCGATCAGATCGTCGCCGACTTTGCCTCCAGCTTCCCTCCCTCTCGCCAATTTTCTGCTTGCATCTCTCTCGCCTTAATCCTTGACGTAAATCTCCCTCGCCAATAATCTTCAAACTATCTACATTGTGTGAAGACTCAATGTAGTTATCGTATATAAATTTTGTAGCTTTTTATCATAATTTTGAGATGTTTACCTCCAAGTTCTATATAATATTTGTATATAACTGTCAGTTGAATATAAATTACACAACAAAAAATAAGAAATAAATACTCCAATCGTAGAAATGTGTTATCCACAATTAATCTGCAAATTGTCTACAAAATTTTACAAAAACTACAAATTAACTACATTTAACCTACATTATAACTACAATCTGGAAACAATTTACACATGGAAGTTCTTCAAGTTGGAATTGGCCACAACTGCATTTCTTGTTTTTCAGACACACAATGTACCGCTTCACACCATCCAACACAGTATGTATATGATCTGTTGAAGCCCTCACCTACATTTTCAGAACAAACACAAAGAAAAAAAATTTACAATATTAAAAATATAGTATCTACAATATATCTATATTTTATCTACAATTTATCTACAAATTAACTACAAACTACAAGTAAACTACAATTTGCCTACAATTTATCTACAATCTGGAGACACTGTATATTAAAATATTTTTTTCATGCACCAAATAAAGAACTTGTAGTCAAATTGTAGATATATGTAGTAAATTTATAGATAATATCATAAAACTAAAATTCTAAGCATTTTCGAACTACACAAACCTGCATTCTCATCTACCACAATGGCATCAACTTCAAAATCTCTAAATCTGCCATAGTTATCCCAATTCCCATTCAATTTTAGCATTATTGGGATTTTTGACATGATTTCGTGTAGTTGAGAGAAAAAAGATGAAGAACAGATATAGGTTCGACAATTTGAGTACTGAGGACGATGAAGAACAATTTTGAATTTATTGCGTTGTTGAAGCTTCTGAAGCTCTGCGTTGTTTTTGAATTGTAGTGAAAGAGAGAATTACGCAGCAATCAGATCTCTTTCCGTTTCAAATTTCGAATTTAATGTGGAAAGAATCAAACGCAAATTTTGTGCCTTTTTTTTCGCGCATTTTAAATGGCAGAATCTGCCTAATTATGGATTGGTATATAAATTGTAGTTAAAGTGTGGACTGGGCGGGTAATTAACAAATTATGCACATTTTTGGTAATTGATCACGCCCAACTATGCCTTCTAGAAAAGAACTCTGCGGACGTTGCAAATATAACCCGAGTATTACGCCCAGGGTCGAATCCACAGAGAGTTAACCTATCAACCGCTATCTTCAAACCCACCAAGTATTCAGCACCAGCTTCTCAAACATTCAAATTCTCAGTTGAGTGTTCTTTAACAACTAGCTTGCAAGTAACTAAATGGCTGTAACTAATTTAATAAGGTTGTAAACAATTATGAGGAAAAGCTAAGGCAATGATTTCCCCTATTGATGGAATCCCTCCTGTTTATGCTCATACAAATTTACCCACTCATCTCTATCAATCTTGAACGCTAATCTTACCACAAATCTCTTCCGAGTAATCACAGTAATCTACTATTGCACTCTCCCGAGATACACTAGCTTGCTTTATTTAGCACAATTCAATCTAGATTGCACCCAAGACTTCGTTATTCCTAATCCCGCCTTTAAACCCGCAATTATAGATTCCTCTAATAATCTAGGAGTGGTGTTGTTCAATAATACCCTAAATATGCACTCTTTTTCAAGTTATGCACACTAAATAGGTACAGCTAATTGAGGATCCTGTCAATTAACTACAACGAATACGAAGTTGAACAAATAAAGATTAAACTCGCAATTTGTATTCACATAAACAAGAAGTTCATCACCCAATAGGTTCCATCAAAGCCTTAGACAAGGAATTTAGCTACTCATAGATATGGGAGAATAAACTACGCTTGAATTCATCATAAAAATCAAAAGAAAGGAAGAAAGATGTTTAGAGTACTTGCTCACAATTGTTTTCCTTGCTAAGAAACCTAAAAAATCAATACATGCCTCTCTTGGGCGAAGTCTAGTGTTTTAATTAGGGTTTTGGTCTAAAAATCCCGTGTTTTACACTTAAGTCCCTGAAGTTTACTGTGCCCACCGCGGTTCTACCGCGGTCGCGGTAGAACCGCGGCCAAACGCCCTCGCGGAATCTTTTACTTTCAGAAACTGCCTTCCACCGCGGTCGCGGTAGAACCGCGGTGGAACTTGTACCCGGAAATTTTGGCCTGTTTTGAATGGGATACTTGAGAAATTCAACAATTGGCCTTTTTTCATCAATAGTTGACTCCAAAACCGCTCCTTAGCCTTCCTTACACCTACATCACCTGCAAATCATGAAAAACACTAATAAGAGCATTTTGTTGTCATTTTTCCACATTAAAAGTTCACAAGAAGGTGATTATTTGGTGCGTGATTATAGTCAAATTCACTTATTATCAGTAATAAGGTTTCATATATGGTATAGTTAGGAAAAAATCCCTTTTGGTGGTCACTTTCAAGCCTAGATGCTAAGGGCAAATCAGCCAGACTATAATTGTTTTTTCATTAACGATAAATAGGTAATTAAAGAATTATTATAAAAAAAACTCAATATAAGTGAGGCAAGTATAACAATATCATAAAGGGATAATTTCACATAAATACAACTCACACATCTGACTTGCAACATAATAGCCCAGCCATAACTTTACAAATCTGTAGCCCAAAAATAATCGGCTAATATTTGAAAAAAGAGTATTTTCTAGCTTTTTTATTCGGCAACGGAGTTTAATCAGGACAATTATCTTATTTAGATGAAGTCATGAGATTTTCTAATTCTTCCGTCGTATAATTTTGATATTTCTCCCCCAATTTGTCTTTACTGCTGCAAGTTGTCCCCCAATTTTTCGCTGATTCTACTTATATGGTAAAATTTAGAAACAATTGCTGCAAGTTCGTGATTTGGCGGAGAATCAACAAGGAAAGTAGATTTATACATGAATTATTCCAGAAAAAGGAAGAAAACATGGGAAAAAAAATTAATTTGATTATACATATGCAGTACATGTATAATGATGTATAACTATGTATAAACTTGTATATGGAATGTATAATAATGTATATCAAAAGAATACGAGAAAGAGAAGAAGAAGATAAGTGATGTTATGAACATATATACACATTTATATATAATTATATATATTTATACACAATTATACACATTTATACACAATTATACAATAATGTATAAGTGTGCTTAAATAGTGGTTATACAATATTTATACCAGAACACATCTTATGTTCAATATTACACCTCTATTTCAGTATCAAAATATTAAAAGAGAGTTTTTCAGAGGAAGTTAGATCTGAAAATTAAAGAGGAGAGAAGATGGAGATGGAATTATTTTATAAAAGAAGATAAAACTGGAACATCATCTGAAGAACTTGAAAATTGTCTGAATACAACACAAGACCTCTTTTTCATTCTCCGATGACTTCACTGACTTCATCGTCAACCTATTTACCTTGAAAATTGAAGGAAATA